TTACATATTAGGTATCTGGTAAATAAACTTGTACCTATGTACATAACACAACGGATGCATCGGACGAATCGTACCTCTTATGTTTGCTAACATTCGGGATTTCCTTACATATATTTTAATACATAGTCAAATTACGTGTTTTACACTCCGAAAGACTAGTTTTGTTTGTGTAGACTGTTGTTGAAATTAGTAACCAATCAAATGATGTTATTTTAAATCGTTACCACGGCAATGAAAAAAACATTTGGAAATTGTTCTCGTGATGGTCCATAGCGGCTAGGCATTGTTCTGAAGACGACAGTTAACGAATGCAATAGTGCCGCGTATCATTGTGACAGTTACAAATATCATAACTTTACATTACGATGGTGTTGCGTTTAAGTGAGAAGCAAAGAATTGAAGTCCTAATTATGGTTGGATATGGAGATAGGATCCATAGTTATGATGAAGTATGTCAATTATTCAATGCCAAGTATCCAGAACAACCAATACCTCCGACTACAGTAAGCATATTAGTAAGAAGTTGAAGACGCTGGACAAGAGATCTGTCTACATCCGGAAGGCCAGGACAGTGATGGAAAATGATAGGCAAAATGTTATGTTTAGCTGTCACTGAAAATCCACACACTGCCATTCGTCCTATCGCCGAAAACGCCAACATATCAATACATTAAAACATGTAGAGTTGTTTCAAAATCTTATGAGCTTTGACTTTCATATGCGCAGAAATATAATTCCGACCATCGCATAAATTATTCTACGTCCTAAAAACATTACATCCAGTATTCACAGTCTATCTCGAGCTCTCGTAGCGTAAACAAGCCTTTGATGCGATTACAAATGTCATAATAAAATGCCCTATTCTTTATTATTTTAAGCAATAAAAATATATATAACAAACGTTCGCCAGTTGACTTTATTGATGTCCGAGCGCCGTAGTTCATTTCTGATTGTAATGAGGCACGTGGTCTTATTCTGAGTCAATGTTTTCACAACGTGCTTATTAGAAGAGTTATGTGGATACGCCACGCATTTCGCAGCTCATGAGATTTTGAAACTACTCTACTTACAATCAACCAAAACACAAACCATCTACAAATTTCCATTTTTTGTTATGGCACTGTTCTCGCATCAGTTTGTGATACCTACTTTCGTTGTTATTTTGAACCATGTCCATTCCAATCGTTGACCTTTTTTGCACCTGTCAAAGTAAAGTACACCAAACTCTATATCGAGGCATTTTCCTCCAAAAGGGCTATGCTATTATGTTTAAAAAATTACGTAGTGCTGTTTAAAAAAAATGTCGATGACGTCATAGGTTTAAGAAACATAGCGCAAAAAAGGTTTAAGCAACGTGACAAAACGACAATTCCTATTTACTAATTGACGTATTTTACGTTTCCTATTTACTAATTGACCTATTTTGACGTTTTCGTGAAAACACAATATAATATAAAATACGAACTTTTTGCGTTACTTTTGGGACGCACTGTATAGTTTTGTATTCGCTCATTTAAATAATAAAACCCGCAATTAGCTTAATCAAAGCAAACTCAAATTTGTTATTTACCTTTAATATGTGTCTAAGTTCCGATATAATATTATATAAATATTGTATTAATCGTTATGTAGGTCTTTAAATACTGAAATAAATAATATTATAAAATAATATCAAACGTTTAATCCTAATCTCTGTCTCTCTAAAAACTAAAGNCGTTACTTCTGGGACGCACTGCATAGTTTTGTATTCGCTCATTTAAATAATAAAACCCGCAATTAGCTTAATCAAAGCAAACTCAAATTTGTTATTTACCTTTAATATGTGTCTAAGTTCCCATACAAAATATTGTATAAATATTGTATTAATCGTTATGTCTTTAAACACTGAAATAAATAAAATAATATCAAACGTTTAATCCTAATATCTGTCTCTAAAAATTAAATTATATTTACTCCTACTCTGATTATGCTAAGATTTAAGATAAAGGGGTACTTGAATGTAACAAATATTTTGAAGGGATCCGCGAAAAAAATTTTTGAACGCCACTGTCGAGACTGAAAATTTTTTTTGTCGTTTAAGATGGCATCTGTGACATAGGTATACTAAGATTATATAGATAATTTATTTATTTTCTTCCAAAATTATATTTAGTACGATATAAAATACAAATGTAAACAATGCATTTAGCTCCTTCTTGTAGTTCTTCTTCTAGTAGTAGTTCTAGTAGTTCTTCTAGTATTCTTCCCAACTGGTCAATTCTTGAACCATCCCTTTAGTCTTTTATTGATCAATTTCTTGTACAAATAGACAGGACAAATAATTAACCCAGAACCGTGTAGTTTCAGAGACAATTGGGTTATATGTTCAATGCAACCTGTTAGGTTTCCCAGATTATCAGTTTCTGCTTTAAAAAATTGAATGAGAGTAAAAAATCCTTGCCCTCCTCTTCATGTTAATTCATGTGAAACAATATGAAAACATTTTCGTTGTAAAACATTTGGGGTATCTCCATACCAAATCTTATATTCATCACCGGTTAATGATGAGGCGTTGGCTTTTAATTTTCTTAACACGTCATTTCTAGCAGCTCTGGTGACCACAAATTCATCATCAGAAAATGGATTGACCTTAATTCCATATTTTTCATATACCATTTCCTGTAACTGTTTCGCTATGGAGTTCCACATTGTTTTAATTACACTTTCTTTATAATTTTCACAATTTCACCTGTTTATATTGAAAGCATAATCTTCCAAAATATTTGCTATTGTTCGACAGTCCAAGACTCGTCTATTCTACAGTAGGTATATCCGCGTTAAGAACTTATCACCCGTTCAAAATATTTTTTGATAAATTTTGATATATTTTTTTTGAGAATTCTAAAATGCAGGGTGTCTGAGAAAAAAATGTAATTGTAGAATTTTTTTAAATTTTTATTACAAATACAAACCATTCAATCATTTATTGAAAACCGTATTTAAAAAATTAATTGTCGAAAAGTTAACGAATCGAACGATTCCCACTTTGAAAGTAAAAACAGTTAAGTTAGTTAGAAGCTGTGAATTACTAATTGTTAACTAGTATTATGCTGTTCCAAATAAGTACTTTTCGTGAAGCAGCTAATGAGATATCTATCGACATCCAAAATGCAGTATTGGGCATATAACTGTTGCTAATATTAACATATTCTTTTGACCAACATGAAACAGTTGAGAGACTTTCAATCCAACATCATGATCGCGAGGGGCAAGGAATTCAAATGATTCTTGATTGTTTTAATGACAATCCACATTCAAGCCTTCAAGATGCTAGTAGGAATACAAATATTTCTGAAAGCTAAATCTGGAAATGTTTTAAGAAAAGCGATGAGCAACCTTTTAAGCCAAAATTTCTTTACATACTTGAAGTTTGAGATAGTGATGGAAGATTGAAATTCTGTTTTTGATTGCACGGTAGGTATGTACCAAGAAAATCCTGGATTTTAAAAAAATATTTTATACAATGATTCGCAATAAACGCAATTATGTAGTCACAAGTGTCCGAATGTGGTCTTTTATTGAAAAGATTTATTATACCATACATTTTAATAAAAATGTGCTGCTAGTTTTCCCAGATTTTTACAAAATCAGTTTACCGATGCATTTGTTGAGCTTCTTTTGAATTATCGTTAAGATTTATATCCACGCCATGATTGAGCATTTACTCATAATGATGTTAATGTAAGAAATTGGTTAAACGTTTAAAGTTTTCTAATCACTGGATAGGACGAAGAAGTCTCTTGTTCGTTGGCCGCCGGGAATCCCCGACATTTCACCCCTTGATTTTTTACTTTAAGGTACACTAAAAAATTAAGTGTATGCTACAAGGTCTCAGACGCAAGAAGAGCATTGTAATAGCATTAAAGAAGCTTGTTAGAGTATAAGCTCGAGAGCATTTAAGAAATGTAATACGAAATAATCGTCGACAAATTGAAAAATTTATAATTCGGTAGATTAATCAAAATTAAAGCAAACCAATAAAAAATCCTACAATTTGAACAATTTCTGTCTCTGTAGAACACTAAAGATCGGTTTTAAGTTATCCTAATGAGGAATTCGTCGTCATTTTCTTCCTAAAAAAAATTCCTAATAATGCTTTTTGAAATTTTAGCTACTAAAAGTGGTCGTAGTTGGCCATGATTACAGCTCAAATATAAAGTGAACTAATCTTCAATTGCACATTTTAAATATATACTTAAAAAATATATATATTAAAGGGATGGTAAGTACTTGACATGGGCACACTGTGTATGTCTTTTTTCTGCAGAACTCGATAAAATATTTCCATACGCTTGTCTTAAACTTTTTGTATTTTTAGGCATTACATTTTGAACTTTGTTTTCGATTTAGCTATTGCTTTTTACCGAAACGAGACATTTTAAACCTACACAACAATTTCAACAAAAATTCACAGCAGCTAAATAATGAATGTCAACGTAGCAGCAATAACACAGCAGGACGGCTGCTTGGCTTTCTTTAGATTTTGAATGATTCGGCTTCAAAACGTCGGGTTTGATTTTTAATTTTATTCACAATTTTGGTGGGAAATTTCCTTACCGAATACCAGAGGTGCTCAAATTATTCCGGGAAGTTTTCCCTTTTTCATGAATATTTTTAAAAAATTATTCATCGTCTTCGACTCGACGACGATAATTTTCAAAATATTCATGACATGGAAAAAGCTTCAGCATATAAGGAAATAATTTAGGCTTTAATGATACAAGCGAAAATTTCATACTTTCAATGCCCACAGCATAGGTTTGCTTCTCTTTAGGGAATCCTAAGCAGAATTGGGCTATGCGTCTGATATGATCAAGTGTACTTTAATTGATTTAAAATAATGAAAATTATCATTTTTATCTGGATCGTGCGCTCTAGCATCCACCTGAGGCGAACAAATAGACGTTTACCTTAACCCTACCTAAAAGAGAAAATAGCTAGTTTCAGACAATACCACTCACAATATTACTCCGCAAACTAATCTTCCTCCGGCATGTCCTGTTGTAAGAGAATCATCATATCCCCCCTTTCCCAAATCATCTTCAAGTTCATGGACTACCACGGCACGACCAATAATATTATGGGTACCTTCCAGATCAATAACACTGTCGGTAATATTGATTAGTGCAATACCATCAGCGCCAGCAAATATATTGCCTAAGTCACCAGCATGCCGATTTGTGTCAGTTGGGGCCCCATGAGTGTGCTAAAATTAATAAGTAATTTGTATTTATCTACTATAATATATAATACAAAATGTAGTGTAATAAAATATATTTAAATTAGGAAAGTTAAGGATATATTCGATTTGAGAATCCTTCTACCTATCTCGTATACTCGGACAATGTCTGATGTAATTGTTCTTTTTTCTATGCAGAATGAATAACAAGCGAATTGGATATATGTATATTTACTTTTTATAAACATTTAAAGCATTGCTAACGTTTCGGCAAAACGCTTACTTTCCTCAAGAAGCAAGTTTTTATTCTTCATTGTGGCTAACTTTTTGAAAAATTTAGATTATAACTTCGAGGACTTGATAGTACACTTGATTTATCCTTTTCAGAAAGGCCACCTTTTTGTTAAAAAGTGTAATTTTCGAAGAATAAAAAATCTAAGATATAAGAATTACAAAATATTTTTTCTAAACTGTCTCCTGAAAAACACAGGAATTCTGCAGAAACATTAGCATGGTCATTATTCCTTCTACATGATCACAATAATCTTGTAAAAAGTTTCAATTGTGAATTTATAATATGTGATGTTATACAATACAGGTACAGTAGCAATTATTGAAAAAACATTATTTTTTTACTGCAGGTAAGGTATATAATGAATATGGTAAGTATTCTTGTTATAATGGATTCCATAGTCATTTGATACATAAACATATTTAGGCTAATTATAAGAACAAATTATGTGGCTGTTAAGATGCGCTTATCATTGACGCAAATGTAGGAATATCGATGTAATTTGGAAGCTAGAAATTTTAAATATTGTTATAAATAATTATGATACAAAAGTTAAGTGATATTTATTGTAATTAAATATAGAGTTAACTATTTTATATAGAAGATAAATTGAAGAGAAAATTTTGTCAACTCGCTTTCTTTTTGTTTATCGTTCTTCGTTACATGTTACGTTCATCTCTTCTTAATCAGCAAGTCTCTGAACATTGTATTCATTTGCAAATATATTTTTGTAGGTATAACTATAGCTTTAATCAGACTTGCTTTTACCTGGGTACTATCACAGACAATATAGCTTATCGTCACAGACTGATTGTTAAATGTTGGAAATTGGCAACCCGAAATGGATGCAGGCTTTTGTTAGCCGGCATCCATCAATGAAAAGCATGGTAACTCTTCTACTTGGTAATAGGCGGCAGTCCAGCGGTGGCTTTGTTGCCAAATAAATTTAATGCATTCAATTATGCAATTGAAGAGTTATATGGAACTTATCTTCTGTTTGGAAATCATTTGTCTTAAATGCTAAATAAAATAAATCAAGTTAGAATTAACACTATGAATTTACCTAATTAATTATTTATTTTACATCACCTTGGAATAGGAAAATTCAAAAACTTGAAATTAATGTTTTTAGATTTGTACGTCGACTTCCAATATGGTACGATATTAACACCTATGTTTAAAAAAATTGCATTTTACAGGTTGTGTATCCTTAGATGGGTACTGCTCTCTTATTGTTGATTTCTTTACATAGGTAAAATAATTATTAACGCAAGTGTTGCATATCATGGATGCCATTGGTAGTGTTCATATTTGTGACACAAGGTGTTCAAAAAAATTAACACAATGTAAAATTGCTGGAACCTCAAGGAGTAGTTGAATTATTTAAAAAAAAAATACAAATCATCAATCAATGCAGAGATAATATAATGCGTTCGTTACTGCTGTTGCAATTTTTGACACATTTTTTTGTTTTTCGACATACTGACTTCAGACCTTTTCCATTCAACGCAGAACGGATAATCAAAACCACGGGTATGGAAGATTTTCTTAATTATTTTTTCGATTTAACGCACCGTTTCCTAGTTATACGGTCTTTTTACTATGTATATGACGTCACACACCTCTTGTTTCCAAAATTTATTTTCGACATAAGGGCTTCGGACCTTTTACGTTCAACGCAGTACGGACAATCAGAACTAGGGGTGTGGGGAGATTTTTTAATTATTATTTTGATTCAACGCACCGTTTCCGAGTTATAAGACCATTTTTACTGTATCATATCACGTGAGCACCCTTTGTTTCAGAAATTTATTTTCTACATATGGACTTCGGACCTTTTGCAATCAACGCAGAAGGAACATACAGAACCCGGGAGGGTGGGGAGATTTTTCAATTATTTTTTCGATTCAACACACCGTTTCCGAGTTATAAACACTTTTTTATCCTATGATCTCACACTCCGTTGGTCACGATTTTTTTTTTATATGCGGGCTTTGACGTTTTTCACTCGATCACCAATCAGAACCATGGGATATTTTTTGATACTTAAAGTCTCCGAGGTACAAGCAAATACTGTTTTTTTTTTCTTTCCGAGTGCTCTACTCAGAACCAAGGCGAGATTTGTTTATATTTCCAGCCATTTCCGAGTTACGAGCAAAAACCGTTTTTTTTTCTCATACGGTGTGACATCATAGATCGATAACGAAGACTAAAAAGGCTACGCGCTCTACCCCACGCTCCCTCCCTAGGTGTCCTAAAATTGCTGGTGAAGCCCCGGAGACTCTTGAAGGCAGCAGAGAGAGAGAGAGAGTGAGAGAGAGATCGAAGCCCTCTATGAGGACAGAGTTACTCTATCTCTATCGCACACTATAACTCTATCTCTCTCGCACACAATCAGACAAAAACGACAGAAACGAACCATCTTTTAAATATACATGGTATTTATCATTATCAGAATAACCCATTTTAATTTAAAAAATGAAAAAAAATTGAAATGGGTTATTCTGATGACGAAAAATAAAACATAATTAAACTGCATTATTCAAATAACAATAATGTGCAAAAGTTCTTCAGGAATATTGGCAAATTTATTTTGGAGGAAGACTCTCATCAACGTACACTAAAAAATATTATTAGAAACCTTAGGTGGCCAGAAAACAGCCCTGATCTCTCATATCCTTTAGACATATTTTTGTGAGGACACTTCAACAAAATATATTATTAAAGACCTGAATATTTACAAGTATTGAAAGAAAAATACAAGACGAAATAATTTTGAATTTGTTTTTGAAGCAATTAATAGTAAATTGAAACATATTTTCAACCGTATCATCACAATTACTTGCATGTTGATTTATAAAAATTGTAGGTATTTTAATGTTATTTCGTTTTTATGTATTNACTATAACTCTATCTCTCTCGCACACAATCAGACAAAAACGACAGAAACGAACCTTCTTTTAAAAATACATGGTATTTATCATTATCAGAATAACCCATTTTAATTTAAAAAATTAAAAAAAAATTTAAATGGGTTATTCTGATGACGAAAAATAAAACATAATTAAACTGCATTATTCAAACAACAATAATGTGCAAAAGTTCTTCAGGAATATTGGCAAATTTATATTGGAGGAAGACTCCCGTCAACGAACACTAAAAAATATTTTTAGAAATCGTAGGTGGCCAGAAAACAACCCTGATCTCAGTCCTTTAGACATGTTTTTGTGAGGACACTTCAACAAAATATATTATTAAAGACCTGAAAATTTACAAATATTGAAAGAAAAATACAAGACGAAATAATTTTGAATTTGTTTTTGAAGCAATAAATAGTAAATTCATAAGGATGAATTTTAATATTTTTAATGATTTTATTTATTTTAACATATATATTTTATGCCAGAAAATTTTGATGTCTAAGGAAATAAAGGAAAAGTCGTACATTTGTATATAAAGTTTCTTTTTATCTTTAATTATTAAACCTAAGTGGATGTCAAAATACAAAAAAAAACCTGTACCTACATTCCGCGACGTACTAATAACCCACCTCGTATATTAAATAAATTTATCGTCATCATCAAATATTAAACAAATTATATTACAAGCTGTTTAAAATATCATTACGAATTTTGTTTATTTGGAAATATATTTTCTGCAGTATTTCAATACCAAAAAATGAAAATAGTAGGTAGCTAATTAACAAAATTATGATTAAATAACTTAATTGTAACACCGCTGCAGAATATCATATGAAACTATATAGATATTCGTTGATTCTTTAAAAACATTTTTATCAATACCTACATCATACATTTAAATAAAAGTCTTGTTTATATGTTGCTAGGATACGCGTAGGTATGCGGGCCGCATTTGATTCTTCCTAAAATTCTGCTGGTGGTGTACTCTACCGGCAATTCGGAAATTTAAAACTGCTGGCCTATTCCAGTAGCGGTATGTGGCGATAGCTATTTTGTCTGTGGTACTACTTACGACGTTTGTAATTTACAAAGTTTTCTCGATGGAAAAAAAAAGAAAAAGTGAATAATAATCAAACCGAACATATGTTCTTATTTTCTTCTCGACCAATAATAGTTTAGTTTGCAGATTTCCTTGGCAGTTGTCAATGATTGAAGGTTTCTGGGCTGATTAACACTTCGTCAATTTATACTCCTTGATATTTTGAGAAACATATTAGTCCGGTCAAATTAGACCAAAAAATAAGAGTGAAGGTACATAAATTTATAACAAGCTGAAAGTGAGTAAAATTGTTTAACACATAATTAAAAATAACATTAAAATTCCTCGTCGTTCCGGTACTCGGAAAGAAATTTACTCGAGGTCAAAGGTCAAAAAATGCGATTTTCAGCTAAACGGTAAGTTTTATCATAAAATTACTTCATTCATAAAATTATCTATAAAAAATGTATCAATACTTTTTTTCCTAAGAGCCACCGTTTCTAAGATATAACGATTCAAAAAGTTGTAAAAGTTGTAATCGTCATAATATCTACTTTTGCATAGTTTTACAAAATCATGTACTATTTTTGCACGCAATAACTGGCTGTGATACGACATCTGCATTTTACAGTAGAGGTAAGTTTTTAAAATGTTTGAAAAACAAGATTTAGTCCAATGTGCTGAAGTTTTTAAAAACAGTAATTCAACTCCACAAGAAGTTATCATCAACATAATTGGCTTTCTTCTTTCTATATACGGAGCTCCTAAAAAAACTACCTGCTTAGATAAGTATCAATATGCATGTTTCGTTAAAAACACTCGAAATAAAAAACAAGTGCAATTAGTTTGTCTTCCTGCTCATCAACATCTTTTTCGGGTATATTACCAAGTTCAAGTGTGGTTAGGTGATCAGCTAGACCAAAAAGACTGGGGTTGGAAGTTGGTCGACAATACATTAGAATCAATTCAGACTACTCCCACCTGCGCCGGAAAAACTGCTAAACACAATTTTTTGCAACTGTAAAAAGGGATGCAGTGCTAAATGTGGATGCAAAAAAGTTGGACTGTTTTATTCTCTGGCATGTACAAATTGTCAAGGCCTGTCGTGTTCTAATGTTGAATCACCAACAGTAGAGGATTCATTTGGTACCAACGAGGAGATATTCGATACATCGCTATTGACGCAATTTACTTACACCCAGAATGAAGAAGAAGAAGAAGAATATCAAGAAGAAGAGCAAGAAGAAGTATTTGAAGGTTATGAATCAGACGAATAAATTCCTCTACTTTTTTTAAATTTCCATCGCTTTTATCATTTCCAACCCTTGCTAATATCTGTTATTATGCAATAGTTTCAAACTAAACAGAATCACAACTGACCTGTGGAATAGCCCTGCTGGGAAAACCACGTTAAAAAAAACGCGCTAAGTACACTAGTACCTCATAGGTGGCGTGGAAACGTGTGCATATTATGACGATTACAACTTTTACAACTTTTCGAATCGTTATATCTCAGAAACGGTGGCTCTTAGGAAAAAAAGTGTAGATACATTTTTTATAGATAATTTTATGATCTACAATTTTTGTCAGAAGTAATTTTATGATAAAACTTACCGTTTAGCTGAAAATCGCGTTAAACCCATTTTTTTGACCTTTGACCTCGAGTAAATTTTTTTCCGAGTACCGGAACGATGAGGAATTTTAATATGTTACTTTTAATTATGTTTTGAACAACTTTACTCACTTTCAGCTTGTTATAAATGTATGTATCTTTGAATGTCTAGATTGACCGGACTATATAGCTCTCTTCTTCAGAAGAAACACTGAAACTGTAATTTCCTCAACATCAAAAAATTGTTCAGTTAATGTTCCTTTATTTTTACTAAGTATGTCTTGCATGTCTAAATAAACATTTTGTTCATTTAGTTGGCATTATTATATAAACTATAGTTAACTATATTATGACATATACAGGGTGATTCATAACTATCCAAAAAATTTGGAAATAAATGCGGAATAAGAAATAGAGTCAATATCGTAAAAAAATTTTTTGTAAAATCCTTATAGTTTCCGAGAAAAAAATTAATGAATTTATAGTACTTTCAACCATTACATAACTGAACAACTGTAGGCTCTAGCGTTATTCGCAATACGCGTAGATGGCCACATGGCCTCAGCGACTCCGAATACTAAAATCCGACTGTTTACAATAGTTTTTTAGTAGTTAGTGTAAAAAATGGCTTGCGTGTATAGCAACTCGGTGTTGATTAATATCGTTTTAATTTATGGTGAAGCAAGACAACATTTGTATTAGGGTGAAGCGTTTGTGTTATGGTGAGGCAAGACAACATTTGTGTTAGTTCGTAGAAACTGCGTAAGACGGGTCCAAATGTGTTTACACGTCGGTGGACAAAATGTTGAGCAGTTGTTGTAACATCAGGTATGTCAAATTATTTTATTAATTTTTATTAATTAATAATAATAATGCTGATATAAAATAGGTGCTATAAAATTCTATTCATTTCTTTCCTTGTGAAATTCTTTCACGTTTTTGTCCGTTTTTATCACACTTTGCCGCCATGACAGTCGCATTGTGCGAGATCAGGTTTTACAGTGGACCAGTTCCCAGTGCCGTGCAGAAGTGTATTTTTAAATCATGTTCGAACTGCCTTTTTGATTTTTTCTTTACAAAATTGTATTCGTAAGAGTCCCCTGTACATCCAAAAATTTTTTTTTGTATAAGTTCTGAATCACCCTGTAGTATATTTCAAATTATAACAGTTTTATCTACAATTGCAGTGTTTAATATAATGCACATTCTTCTACATCATTTTGAGTTACTTCATAAAAACAAGTGCAATTTATTATAGGTATTTCAAAATTTTTGCCTAATGCTTAACACAAATTTACTATATTTTTCAAAAATTTTTTTGAGACTTTTCGTGTTTTTAATTGTATGAAAAGTGAACACCAACTTTTTTCCTGTAATAATAAAGATACCAATGCTAATGTATAGAATTCGATATACATATAAAATTATGATAGGTATATGTAATATAGTTTTAACCGGATATAAATCAAAATGAATCATACCACCAGTATTTGTACTACAGATTCTGTAGCTTTTCTGACAAAAATTTGTTGTTGTACTCACGTTTTCTGGATTAAAATGAGCTCCACTTGCCGCACAGTCAGGAGAAATTACTCCGAGGGTATGAATATGGAAACCATGATTTCCAGGGGTTAGTCCACTTACTGTTCCTATTACAGTTATGCCATCAGATGTTTTAACAAAGTTTACAGACCCAGTGACATTGTTCGTTTTTGTAGGATCGCTGAGACTTACTGTAGCAGCTTTCTAAAATGATATTTTATTTATATCACAATTGAAATTCATTTCTTATTAGTTTATTGCTATTTCGAATATTAGGCAAATCTAACACTTTTATACAGGGTGTTTTATAAGTAGTATACAATAATTCAGAGGGTGATTCTTGACATTATGTTTCTTTTGCAAAATACAGGTGGATAGTTTTTTTTTCGTTTTTTTGGAATGGAATGTTTTCCATTTTTCAAACTTTGAACGATTAGACTACATATTAGAGGGCATAGTTTAGTGCAAACAAAAATTTAATCACCTGTATACAAATATTTATAGAAATACTATGTACGCCACTAACCTAACATTTCTAATTTTGTGAGTATTTTTTGTAATTATTGTTCATTACCTTGCGAAAGATGAATTTTTCATTTGGAGCTCAATTTTGGAGAAAAATTCTATTTTATTAAAAATGATCAACAAAATAGCAACAGCGAAACTGTGGGATTCAAATAAATAATGCTAAGAAACATCTTATGTTAGCTAATGAATCAGGATTACAAAAAATTCACGAAATTAAAAATATGCAATGACGTGCATATTATTTTTTAGTAATTGTTTATATGCATGCCCCTTGTTTTTGGGAATAAACTTTTTTTCATAAAATGATTTGAATAATTATCCTTTAAATAGATTAGATTACTTAGAGAACAACCTTATAACAATACAAACATGCATTTACATTTCAAAGCTTTACAAGACAATAATGATATGTATAAGAAGTGTTTTCTTTAGAGTGCAATGATCCAATATGTTTACCTTACTATTGAGTAATATTTTGCACTAGGAAATCATCATCAGTGTCATTTTGTTTACATTTTTACATTTAGAAACTTTTATATATTAACAAATACCAATATCTAAATTGGAATTTATATTATAATAAAACAGGAGATGCCAGAAAAATCAATACATTTTTCTTTTACCAACATTCGTTAAGGCTTTGTCAATATTAAAAAATGTTTACATAAAAAATGCATGTATTAGCTGCATATGTTAACAAAGCTTTAAAATTTGTTTTCTGATTTCTTGTTTCATCAGGAAATTTTTATTATCGTCTGTAATCATAAGTGATAAATATCTAATACTGAAGAAATAACTCCTAGACTAGTCTAGTTAGTCATTAATACCTAAGTATCTAAAGTAAAAAAATATGCCTATTGAAATAGTAAATATTAATGAAAAAACGCATGCGTGGTATATTGAAATTATTAAATAATGATGTTCTCCTTCTAATTTCCTCTTTCTATTAGTAATAATATTTGCACAAAGACTGACACGAAATTCAGCAGTAATACATTACTTAATATATTTCTGTATTTTAAAGTATGCATTTTTAAGTAATAGATATATGTATGTATAAAGTAGCAACAAAACTAAAAAATAAAATTTTTCAGAGTTCAAGTATTTATAAATATCAAGGAGAAGCAGTGTTTTCGCCTTTATTTTTAAAATAATGATGTTAAAATTTAAAAAAAATATACCTCTAAGTAGCTTCTGAATAAATGAAAATGTTGAAAAATAAGATGTATAAAGATTTTGTAAAATAATATAAATATGTAAATTTAAATTTATCTAAACTTATCATTTTTACAAATTGTAATTTGCAATAAAACAGTAAAAGCTATCTATATAAAAGTCAAGAGGTCATATTCAGTCAAAAATAAAATTTGGTTTCAAAAATACAAATAAATATTTGGTTCATAACACAGCCCCCCAAAATATAAAAAAGTATCGGATCTGGTATTCAGACCCTTGCATTGCCATGTATTTTTTTTCGCTGAATTCGAATCTGCCTTCATATTTGGCCCAACGGGTCTGAGTTTTCGGGAAAATTATGAAAAAAATTCACAAAAAACGTCATTTACTATCGAAAGTTATAAAAAATGAAATTATTCTACCAGCTCACTAGACGTATGATTTTTCACTTGTTTAATTCCAATTTATCATCATAGAATCAGACAAGATGGTCCAATTTCATTCAAAAACAGAAAATAAATCAAAATGCTCAAAAACGCCATTTTCATGGCATAATTCGTGTTGTAGAGTTCTGGATCAATCTTTACTCTTACGCATATTTATTCATCCACCTGTACCACCTATAAAACCCACCCATCCACCCATCTATCCATCTACTTTTTGTGCTGAGAGATGAGATAACAGCCTAGATGATTGAGAATGCAATAAAACTTGTAGAATACTCTACTTTCTAAACAAAAGAAAACGAAATCTACAAATCGTTCTTATTTTTGTTGCTATAACGTGTTCTCTTTTCTTCAAAGGATCTATGCAAAGGATCTATGCAAGGGATCTATGCAAAGGATAGATATATATATAGGGCGAAAATTTGTTGGTTGTTAAAAAGAGAAACGAAAAATAGAGGGACTAAACGAAAGCGTAACCCTTTGCATAGATCCTTTGAAGAAAAGAGAATACGTTATAGCAACAAAAATAAGAATGATTTACAGATATCGTGTTCTTTTGTTTAGAAAGTAGAGTTTCTACAAGTTTTATTGCATTCTCAATCTTCTAAGCTTTTATCTCATCTCTCAGTACAAAAAGTAGATGGATAGATGGGTGGAAGGGTGGTACAGGTGGATGAATACATATGCGTGTTCATGCATGAACGACTGGATAGAAAGATGTATGAATTCATAAATGGGTGGGTGGATAAAAAGATGGATCCAGAACTCTGCAACACGAATTATGCCATGAAAATGGCGTTTTTAAGCATTTTGATCTATTTTTTGTTTTTGAATAAAATTGGACTAGCTTGGAAATACATGGGTCTGAATACCAGATCCGAAACTTTTTTTTTGTGGGGCTGTGTAATTTATGGAGAAAAATTTAGCATACTTCAAATGTACTGATTTATTTGAGATTTAAATGTTTCACGTGGAATGTCATATTATTTATGTAATGTACAATATTTTGACATTAGGAAGAAGAAAATGCTCCTTTTTTGAAACATCGTTTTCTTTTATCCTCTTTATAACTTCATTTTAAATAACTACTTTAAAGTAATACAAAGTGCAAGTGATAATAAAAATTCAGTAATGTCTAAAATCTAAATAAAAAATAGATTAATATAATCGACGGCAAAATTTATGACATTTTATTTCACTTCTATTTTTTAAAAAATAACTTACCTGAGCAAAGGCACATCCTAAAATGGTGAAAAAGAAAGCAATCCTCCACATTTTCCTAAAAAAGACAATTTACATAAATTGCTATTGTATTGATATCTAATATCATACTTTCGTCACTGAAATTTGTACATTTAAAAAACTGTAATATTTAAACTATTTTTAAAAATTACCTAATAAATGTTTATATAAAGTTCTGCACTACCCGTACATCTAGCTAGACTCTAGAGCATATTCCCACCTTTATAAATATTTAAGAAAATATAATAAGCATTTTTGTATTGGTTAACAGTTTTTCTTCATCCAATGTGCACTGTGCACTGTGCAAAACACCAAGCTGCCAGGGCAGATGCAGTGATTTTTTTTAAATCTTTCCATTATAATAAGGTACCATTAATTCAGGAACTGATATAATATAAAAAACATTTTTTTCCTGTGAACAATTTTTTTTGGAAACAAGGTATCAAAACTAATTTTTAAAATCAAGTTTTAGTCGTATATTTTCCAAAATATAATAGAATGGAACATTGGGAATCCTTGCTGATATTCCCTAGCCGCAGCGTCGACATTTCCGTTACAGAAACCATAAACAAAGTGCATATCTGCATATTCGTGACTAAATAGTAAAATATCACGGCATTATGTAAAAAAAACAAACACTAAACAAACATGGAATAACAACTAAACAGTAAATAATACTAACGATGGCGTAGTGAAAATTATAAAATTGCATTCTGAAATATTAATTGCCACCTATTTCCGAAAATCAATTTTTGTTCACTAAAAGCTAATTTTCCGACAAATAGATAATTAAAGCAAATCAATTAATGGATTTTGTAAGAGAAAAAACGTGCATTATTAATCGAATTACGTGAATTATTAATTTGTTTGAAAAATAATCCCAAGAAAGATCATAAATTCAGGTTCAGGTATAAATAAACAAAGCCAGTTAAAATAATAAAACGAGCTTACTTATTTGATAACGCAGACAAAAAAATCAATTTTTGCAAATGGATTTTAAACAAATATTACAACCTGTGGTCTAAATTAGCGCTTTATAGTCAGCTAATAAATTGGGCACCTCCTAAACGGCTACTACTATTAAAAAAACCAAGAAACATTCATTCATTTAACGTAACAGTACTTGAATTTAATACTTATTATTTCTGCAAAAAAGCGCCAGTGCCATATTTTTTGGGGCGGCACCTTCAATAGCACGCCATTGGTTAATTAATATTACATTCAATAAAAGACCTAATTAGGTAAATACATATGCTGTAGTAAATTTTATTCAAGTATTTAAAGTGAAATCACCTTGTATAAAAATAGGGTGTTGCAAAATGTTTTACATCCAAAAATACGAAAAAAAATTCCTATAAACGTAGGTCGGCAAATGCTTGGAAATAGAGGATGTCAAAAAATGTTTTTTATTGATAATTTCTAAATTTTTAATTGGAAATCGTTTAAATTTGGGTCAATACATTTATGATACGTAGGTAGGTATTTGGTATAATCAATTGCATTTCAGACCCATCAGGGAAGTAGATATGGGGGAGTATCTATTTTTGACCAGAAAATCTACGCTACTGGTTTTTATTTTATTTTTAGGAACCTCATTTATTTTAGAGCAAAAGGGCTTCCTTGCACATTTCTCATTTAACGAGCGGTTTTCGAGCTATTGAAGATTTTTAAAAACCATGCAAATAATTTTTAAAGAAACATTAAACATTTAGTATCAAACTCTTGTATCTTGAAGTCAATGTACCTACATTTTTATTAAAACGTAAATGTCCAAATTTACAATACAGTGTTAACAATAAACTAACTTTATATTAACATTACCAATAAAATCGATAGCAGTAATTAATAATTTCTCGGTTAGGATAATCTAAAAAAATAATAATGAACCAGATAATAACAATAACAATGATAATTAGAATGCACCATTCATATCATATAAAAATCAAAGATGTTGAAAATAGCCTCCACCTGCAAACAACGCATGCTTCAGATCAACGACGCATATTACGACGCACCCTACGAGGGATACGCATGTTCTGTCGAATGACCCAAATTTAAACGATTTCCAATGAAAAATTTAGAAATTTTCAATAAAAAAACATATTTTTTTTGACACCCTTTATTTCGAAAACGAAGCATTTACGGACCTAGGTTTATAGGAATTTTTTGGATGTAAAATCTGCTCTAGAATTCTCTAAACAATATTTTGCAACACTCTCTATATAAACACTAACTAAAAAATTCTCATATAAAAGAAAATTAAACAATTAATTAAATAATAACATAATCAATTTTCTCTTTTTTATTTTCATGATGTCACCAACATCCAATTGTACATCGCGGTGAATAAAAAATAAGGTATGGCAATCACGATACAACGACTACGACAAATAGTCCATTATCGATTGTTTGTTTATAGCTATTACTACAAATTAAATTATATCGATCCGTATTAAACCGGAAGTAGGCAGATTGTACGACAGGTGAACTAGAATAATGATGTAAATAACCTCGCTATAATGTGAACTATAATTTTCATATAAACCGTAGTTTTATTGTTTGTCAATAAATAATAATAATTACAAATTCATGTTACTGTCGTTTGACGGAGTGATTTGAATTCTAGAGGGTGTAATTACCCCATTTTATTTCTCGCTTAGGCGAAACAATAAATTTTTTGACTGGATATATTCCATTAATATACCGGGTATCCCAGAATATGTGGGCAATCTCTAGGACTTATACAGGGGACGTTAAAATAACATGACAAGTTCTTATAAAAATTTCCCCTACGGACATACAGGCCCCTAAAGAACGCCCCTGAATATTGAATTTCTTTTTAATAACTTTTAAAATACTTTGTGTAATTTAACTATTTTTTTATACGATGGAGAACAGATAAGACTCCTTGAAAACAATTTGGCTTATTTGGTTTGCTAGGTTCCGGACTAGCTGTAACAAAATGTAATGTCAATTTTTTTTACACCCATTACGGTAAAGCCACAAACATAATATTTTTAGATAGCTTGAACTTTAAACTAAAAAAAGGCACCCTTGGTTGATATCGATAACATGATCTATTTTCGAGAAAATCCTGTTTTTGCTTAATATGATTTTTATTACATAATTTTGTATATCGGTTCAACAAGAGCTACTTCTAATGTTATGCATTCCCTGGCTCTGCGAATTGAAGATTGTTGGATGCTCTGTTGTCCATCGTATTAAAAAATAATTAAATTACACAAAATATTTTAAAATTTTTGAAAATCTGTTTTCAGGTGTGTCCTTTAGGGGTCTATATCTCCGTAGGGGGTCCCTCTAAGGAAAACTTTTATAGGAACTTGTCATGTTATTTTAGCATCCCTTGTATAAATCCGAGAAATTGTCCGCACATTCTGGGACACCCTATATAAAAGGGCAGTAGAGACAAATAAAAATTAAATGATAATAACCCTAAAAAAACTCTAGACACATTCTGAATACGATTTTATCTAGAATATCAATTCATCGCTAAATTTGTACTCCACACCAAAAAAAAAAAGCGAATTAAAATTGAACTGAAACCAAATTCTCGAAGATGAGTTAATCTGCTTAACACCGAAACCGAATCCCGTTCGATCTCCATCTCTTATTGTAATAATTTTAAATGTTCCTCTGCATTTTTATACGACTTATCTAACGGTTAAACCTAATTGCAAACTTCGTTATTATTGGAGACAAAAATACGATAATATTTCTGCGCTGATAGGTATATGTATCAAATAAATGTTATAGTTAAATTTATTCTAGTTAAATGGAACGTTTTTTCAGATTTACAGTAATGGTTAAATGAGTCTACTCGCTATGGACAAGAAAAGGTACCCATTAGAATATGACACAAGGTAGTAGGTAAATAATAAATTTAGTTAGTAGTAAAAATAAATCCTAAAGATAAAAACAAAATATTTTGAGATATTAAGTACTTTTTTACTTTTATTGCATTACCTATTTATTTTTTCTTAACAATCGCGCACTGCCTCATAAAACACTCTTTATGAAGTACCTAATATGTATAATTTAATTTATCTGACAATAAAGTTTTTTATGATACATAAAATTCTTGTTCTATAAAATGATTTAAAAGGATGGCCTTAATGTTTTCAATCTCAGCACCCTGTATCTTGGAAAAGAATAATTTTTCAACAGAACCATTTAATTTTTATTGTAAAATCTATTACTAACGTTTAACCGTTTAGCCGCTGAATACTGTGTACTCGTATGTACACGGTGTTCAATTCGATAATTATACAGGGTGTTTCGCAAGCACCGATACAGAGCAGGGGCATGTAGGGGAACCCAAAATATGGTGATTTCACGCAACTTACCTTTATACTAAGCTGCACCCCTGAGAAGTTATAGGCCTTATACCATATTTTGGGTTCCTGCTCCTGCTTTGTGTTGGTTTTTATACGAAACACTCTATATATCTTTCATATTTCTTGTGATTTTTTATAACTTAATGAAATAAATAAAATCTCTTTACGTATACATCATATCAGTCATACAGATACCACGTAAGCATTATCTCACCATGAGTCTTACCATAAGAGCAGCTATTAACTGATATTTTTTCCAGAAATAAAGTAACTTGATCCTTTTACAAATAAGATATTATGTTATATTCTTATACCAGGTGTTACGAAATTCGCGGACACGGACTATGGGATCATGTTAAGTTAGATAATGTCATAAAAAAATGTCTCTATCATTTTTCAATCAGACCGATATTTTTCGAGATACGGCAGTTTTAAATATCCAAAAATAATAAAAATTTTCAATTTTTAATCATTTGATAAACAATTATGACAAACGAATTGTTCAAATTTTCCACCACCTGCTGCTTCAGCACATTGTACTACAGCTCGAATGGAGTTGCGTACTTACTATCTCTGGCGTTATTTGTTGTATTGTTTGAAACTGACAGCTCTATAACAATTAATGACAATTCAAAAAGCATTTATCAATACTTTGACATCGTTAGAGTACAGTAAAAGTACC